GACCTGAAAAAGAATATTGTATGATGTGTAAGAAAAAAAGACAAATCAAAATGCTGGATAACCATATTATCACGTCTCAGTAATCTGCTTGTAAGGCTTGTTTAAGAATCCCTTTCCATTAACTAGGGTGATTTCAACCTACCTAAAAGGGTCTTAATAGTAAAGAAAACATGGCTGTTTTACAATTTTAAAAAATTAAGGACCGTCTCGCGCCGTTGATTTATCTATTTAATAAAAAATCATTTCATCAATTAGTAAATTAAGGAAATATTATTCAAAGTGAAGGGACTATTCTTATATATAAAATAGTTAAAACAGTGAATGTTATTGAAACGGTTTTGAAAGATCATAGAGTTGAATTGTGGTTTATGACTCAAAGTCTTAGTATGTTATATATTGATTAAATCTGTGTAATCCGTCTAATATTATAAAAACAAGTTAAGTGGATTCGTATTGATCCGTATTACCTAGTTGTGTAATCTGTCTAATAATCAGTTTAAACATATTAAGTGAGTCATATTGATCTTTGTGTACGACCACTTAAACCTAATGTTTAAATTAATATTTTTAAGATTTTTAACCTATTTAACTTCAATTATATTAAAAATAAAATGTTCATATATAAAAATATATAGATTCTTTAGACATCATAAGTAAAATTAAAAAAAATTAAATACCAATGATAGAAATTTAAGTAGGATTTTAATTAAAATAATATATCTGATAATTTAAAAGTACATTTTGCTCTTAAATAAATGCGTAATCACTTGTTTAACCTGTGATACGAGCCAGTTTTATTATTCGCTGTCATAAATAGATGACCCCGTAATATGAACTCGTTTAACTTTCAATCATAATCTATTTTATTTTCACTGTCAGACGAATTGTCATTGGCACGTTAATAGAACTATTTTGAATTAAACTGCTGTTTGCCTTTGATTTTACCATGACTATAGTACTTGTCAAGGTATCATTAATCTGTTTGAAGTTTTCTTTCGTGGGGAAGAAAAAAGAAAGGGCGGCTTGGGATTACGTTAAATTAATAATGAAGTCACAACTGCTACTTCGTGATCTTTGGGGATTTTGACTTGCTGTCCTTAGTATAAACAGTAATATATGCGGTTTATACCTGTTGGCAACTAGATCTAGGCATTAATAAAGGTTTTCTATCTTTACTCATCTATAACTACAATAATTATTTCTACTAATTTATAAAATTATTTAATTTACTTAAACTAATAAATATTTTAATTAAAATTAAAAATAATTAATTATATTTTTTTTAATCCACCATTACAATAATTTAAACGTTGAAATGGATAGAATTAATTCTAAAATTTTATAAAAATATAATTTACTTAAATTGAATAAATATTTATCTAAATTTAATAATTAATTAATTATTTTTTTAAATCACCATACAATAATTTTAATAATAATCCTTATTTATATATTATTAGCATATCGTCACGGACTTCTCATCTAAATCTTTATCATTGATATATTAGCATTATTCGTTCCACGACTTTCATATAGACTTATGTTTTTTAGACGCGGCAGCTTCCATAACAAGCTTTCTATTGCACACGCGCATGACGACAGTAAAGTCAAATTAAAATTAAAAAATCACCCGGTAATTCTTAGTCACATACCAACTGACCGAACAAACTTTGGAAAATACTTGTTTATAGTATTTAGGATATTATGGAGAAAATTTTCGATCAAAGGGAATGATTAAAAAACATTATATTTTTCTTTATTTTTTTTTTTTCCGGAAGAAATGTAGAACATTTTATTAGAAGGAAAATTAAAACAACAAATGTGATAATACAAAATGTGAATTAAGTAAATTTTATATTATTTTTACAAAGTAGGCCTTACTAAAATCAGTTGTACAGAAATTAAAAAACAATTAGTTATATTGAGAGAATTCAATTGAGTTAATAGAGAATAGACTTATACAATTAGAGATAGAGCACGTTCCATACTACAAAAATCGGTGGTCGCCTTTTCGCTATTCCCATTGGTATTGACAAACAACATTGTGTCTTTTGGTAAACTTCGTATGCGTAAACCCTGTCTTTTCTGTTAAGGGCCAATTGGTGGCCAATGTACCAACTATTGTTCTAACTGCTTGATCTTTCAATAAGTCCGAGTTCCGAGTCGATAACTTCTCTAAAATTCTTTCCAATTCTATTGGCAAAGGAAATTTGTATCTCAACTTGCATTAATGATCCAATTAATAAAATAACGTGAAGAGATTATGTCTCAAAATTTATATTAAAGATCACAAATATAAGGATTATTTAAGAAAAATTACAAAACAAAAAAGGAAACAATACTAAAAAGGCAGTCATAGGAAAGCGGCATCACTGATAGTTGCCTTTTAAAGAAGATCTGAGGGATTATTAGGACTGGCTTGATAGAAACATATATAGTCTCAATGCCCTGTTACAGGATGTATGGAGTAAACAATCTTTTTCAGTTTGATAAGGTTGCTAGGAGCAAATATGTATTCCATTCAATATTCTTTATACCATATAAACATTTTCATTAATTTAAAGGAAATTATTACTTTCTGGTCGTTATATTCATATATGTTTATTTCAAGTTTCATTTAGTTTTAATAAATAAGAAGAAAGTATGGGTGCAATTGTCTTCATTATTTTATTAAAGAGATTATTGGGGGCGAAAAATAAAGAAATATGATAAGTTTCGTTTAAAATTCTTTTCACCATAAAATTTATAATCGGATTTGGGGTTGAAAGAAATGCACAGGTAATATTACCTAATGTACATGCCAATTCACAGGGAGAGGAATTTCATTATCACGTTTTTCTAGTAATAAATTATTCATTTTTGACATGGAGATAATTTATTTAAAGTTAAAGACTTGCGATGTATATAGTGAAGACAAACGGCTGGTTTTCCCATTAAAGAAAAAGATTCAACGATTCATTAGCTTTTTTTCTCTTTTAGGATTTCAACAATTGTATAAGAAATTTTTTGACCACTACAAAATTCCATTGGGTTGTGGCTTGTGGATATTGTTCGACAAATGACAAGTTTTTGTCTTGTCTGGGCAAGCCTTCTCAACGTCCCAAAATAATAAGTCCAGCTACAGCAATTATTGTATATCAATATATTTCAGTATCCTGTTTCGAAGTTATTTTCATAATATATCAAACTAAGTTTTTGGGTCGCGTGCTTTTGATGTGGGACTTGGTTTCTAGGGAATCAACTTAAGTTCAAGGAGTTATCTCTAAAATTCAGTGAGGACACCAGTTTGATTCTTGAAAAACACAATTTGCTGGAAGAACTAAAAAAATCTAAATTTTTATTATCTAGCGATTCGAGGGAATAACATCTCCTGATTATACCAAAAAAAAGGGATAAGACATTAGAAAATATCTAAATTAACCAAACTCTCAAATTTCTTCACCATGAAATACAAAACCCAAAATTAAACAGTTATATATATAATTTCAAGATTAATCAAGATTTCATAATATTGGATAAAATCTATATAAATTATTGCACCAGACTAATAGGATTGAATTCTGAATCAACTCCTTAAGCAGTAATAAAACAGGATGTTGGCACATTCTCTTGAATATATTACTTAGAAGGATTCTATATGTGTTTCAAATGTTTTCATTAACTAATTATTAAGTAATTGCAACCAGATACACCATGAAAATAATTTTTAATAACATTAATCAAAAACGATTTTGGATTATTACTACTTTCCTATATTAGAGCATCTCCAGAAGTTCAAAATTTCTATAATAATTTGCCATCATAATCCCAATAAGACTAGGCTCCCAATCCCATATTGGTTCATTATCTTATAGGCATTACTACCATATTATTACTACTCTCAGAGTTGCCAGTATTCTTTGTAGGGATGTGAGCATCTCATGTGTGCTCTTCCCTCCCCCATTAATGGAGGATTTTGATTGAGTTATTGTCAAAAATGCCCCCAACTTCTGCCAACCTCGGCTGGCTTATCTCCAACCCAACTGGCCTTCTATCAAATGCTCGACGGTATTTAGAAGTTGGTTGTACACACGACACAAACTGTATTCATGCCTTTAGCTGTGAAATAATTTATATATAGAGGACCAAAGAAATTATTACTTATATTTTTTTTTTTTGTTTTTTATGGAGTTATCTAGCTTGGGTTTCAAACTCAGAGGATTTACGAAACCATAAGATATTCCAGGTTTAATTGTAAGCTCAAAATTCATTAGTCTTATATTATCAAACTATCATGTGATTCAAGTTAAGGAGTGAAGGAATAGACCTATTTATTTATTATTATTATTTTTTTATGCAATTTGAGAGAGTTATTACCGTTATTTTCATACATCTAAAAGTACACTACCACCTCTTCTTCCAATTAAGGAAAAAGGCTTTCATTTCTTGATAGAGTTCTATAGAATTGAGCTTGAAGCTAGGGGTTTCAAACTTTAAAAAGAAATTACAGAATGAACCAGAATAAAATTGGAGAATATACACAACATATATCTATCTATATCTATAATTCTCCCAAAAACATAAGGAAAATGTAAATTTTTTTATATTTTTGGAAAAAATTATCTCCACTGTTTTTGTCTAAAAACTTGTTTTATAAAATATTTCTCTATAGATTCTATATATAAGAATTGAGGTTGAAAATTTAAATAGGATTTTCAAACCATAAGAAGAACAGAAATTAATCTTTTCTTACTGCAACAAACAAACTAAATAGAATGGTAATTGGATATATAAAGCTAAAACCTACTGGTAGATTTATAAGTTTATAACAACTATTTTTTTTTTTTATTTGGTCAAATCAAATTTCAATTTCCGAGCTTAATTGCAGCAGGTAAAATCATGAAAAATACCCTAATAATATGAGAGAGAGAGAGAGAGAGAGAGAGAGAGAACTTGTACCACTGGATTAGCATTAGTGCTTGACGAGGAAGCTTCTGATCTTTGAATGGCTTTGTATTCGTTCATTTTCCATTCGTGCTTGACGAGGAAGCTTCTGATCTTTGAATGGCTTTGTATTCGTTCATTTTCCATTCGGTTTTTCGACCATTTGGAACTCTACCCTTGTAGAACACCATTGTTCTTTTCACTCCAATGCATCGATTTTTGGAAGAATAAACATAACCAGGTGAGCCTGTAGATTTCCAGTATCCAGTACTAGTGAGTCGCTTTGGTCTTCCTCCGCAGGATTCCCTTTCTTGTATTGCGTTGAAAAAAAACCACTGTTCTGGGTCTTTATAACATAAGTCTCCAGATAATTCTGAAACAAATAGAAAAAAAAAAAAATTAATCAAGCAGGAAAGTGAAAAATAAAGCTTAGATTTCGGTGCTGATCTCATTCAAGGGAAACTTTCGGCTAAAAAGGAAACTAATTGAATATAATTCAACAAAGAAAATCAAACTCAGTTATGCTTTCATAATAAAATGCTGCAATAATATATATATTTGACAAAAAAAAGGCTGAAAAGTATTAGAAATGAAGAAGATTTAAATTTCATTTAAGTTTTACGCGGAAGATCCCATGGATCGAAGTCATAGATATCAAGAACAGGAATCACGCGATCCAGGACCAGGTTAAGGTCTTCTCTCTTTCCTTCAAGCTTGTTCTGAAGATAGAAGGTGATAAGCTCTTCTTCTGTTGGATAAAAACGAAACCCAGGTGCTAAATCCTCCATAGATTTTCTCCTTATTGATAATTTGAACTCTTCTCTCTAAATTTGTTTTTTGAGATTCAGATATGGAAATTTAATCAATATATATATAAAAAAAAGCTAAACCCCAAGTCACAGTTAATTACTAAAGATTTATTAGTGCATGTAGATAAATTTATATATAGAGAGACCATGGTTCATCATAAACCATAGTATGTAAATGGTACTTATTTTATTGGTGGGATCCACTTGTATTTTTATTAAATACACTAATATGTAGTAAGACGTTAGACCTTAGACATTAGACATGTACTCTTAAATATACGAGATTCATTTAGAAATATTCAAGATTAGTTTCACATAATATGAGTAAGAGCACAATACATAATCCATTTTTAATTTAGAAGATGTTGCCAGGAAACTTCATGTTATTAGTTTTCCTAAGTGCATACTTTTTTTAATTCCTCTAATTCGTATTCGTAAAAGGATGGTTTATGATTAAAGAAAAGAAAAAGATTAATTTCATTGGATGGTCTTAAACTATATAAATAGACAGTTAATAGAGTAATAACTTCCATTTATAATTTCAAAGTATCCAACATTATATTTTTATTAGAGTAAAATGTCTTTTGATGCAATTGAATTTTCATATTGGCCAGAATGCTATGTATTTAATATATGACTTTATTTTTTAAATAAAAATTGTTTTAGTGTATTACTCTTTTCTCTATAGAAAAAGTAGTAACTTAAGACGTGTGAGAGCATTATCCTAAAGGATTATTTCGCAATTACGTCAAAGATATTAAAGACTGTAGGATTTAACAGGTTCTTCTGAAATAGATTATTCAGGTTGTGGGTCCCGTATGTGTATGGCACAACCCAAGAGGGGGGTGAATTGAGTTTTCTAAAAATATTTTAGAATTTAAAAATAGAATATCAAATTCTAAGTGCTATTTTAGAAATTTTAAAAAATAGAATATCAAATTCTAAGTGCACGGGGAAAAAATAAGAGAACTTGTGAGAAAAGATTATGGATTAGAACTTTCTTCACAATGTTCTACTATAATAAAAGATAGAAAGACTATGCAAAGTGCAGCTATTAATTAGAACTGCTTCACAATGTCTTATTCAATATTTAAGATACTTTTTTATGATGGACAAGCTATTGTATTTAGAACTTCCTCATAAAGTTTAGAAAATTCATAATAAGACTGTGTGAGAGACAGTTATTGAAATTAGAACAGCTTCACAGAGCCTTAACCAGGTTTAGAAAACAGATAGAAAATGCAGTAGTGAACTTATAACTGTAAATAAAATAGAAGAACGGTTTAGAACTTGGTATATTCACTTATCAGAATTCCAGAGTTTTAATATTCAGAGAAGATAAGACTTATTTCAGTTTTAGAACATCTGAATCATTAACAATTTTAGCATCTCTAGAATAAAATATAAACAGAAGTGTGAGTAAAATAGTATCAAGAAGAACTTCAGAAAATAAAAAGATCAACACAGTGATTTATAGTGGTTCGACACTAACTCGGCTACATCCACTCCTCAAGACTCATCTTGAGATCCTTAACTATGTTATCTCTTTTCAAGGGTAAGAGACAAACCAACAGTACAAAGCAGCAGATCAACTCCTAGATATACCCTTTATTCCACTAGATTTTCAAAGGTTCTAGTTAACCTCAACCCTTTCTGTTTTTGGCAGAGTACAGAAACTCAGTTCAAGACATTAGAATCTCTCTCACGGAGAAGGAAGAAGGTCGCTTTGATAACGCCTCTTTCCACAATGCTTCTAACCTAAAGCTATTACCCAAATGTTTAATCAAATAAAATAACCTGTCTAGCTTATAGATTACAAGAATCTAAATAGACAGAAAAGAAATGCAAATATAAGCAATATGGAAAAACAGTTTATGTCAGATTAAGAAAATCGCTTTAGGAAGCTACAGTAAACCGTTTTTGTCAAAAGTAGTTTAATGAATTTTTTTTCTTCTTTAAAGATAAAAACGTGAAAGTGGTAAAGAAATTGTAAAAGAAAAATGGGGGTAGAAGTAGTAAGTTTTTGGAGAGAATAAAGATGTGATCAATAGGTGGAAATCTCTTAACGAACTCTTTTCTTTCCTCCTAGTTCAAAAGTGTGAAAAACTCTTTTTATAGGGAGTATCATATAACTCTCGCTTTTTGAAAGGAGAATATTTCATTTTTGAAATCGAAATATCTCTTTCCTTATTTTAGAAGATTACGATTTAAAGATAAAACGTGAAGTGTAAAGATGAAAAGAAAAATGGGGGTAGAGAGTAAGTTTTGAGAGATAAAGGATGTGATCAATAAGTGAATACTTTTAAAACGAAAACTCTTTCTTCCTCATAGTTCAAAGCGTGGAAACTCCTTTTTATAGGGAGATATGTAACTCTCGCTTTTGGAAGGAGAATTTTTCATTTTGAAATCAGAATATCCTCTTTCCTTATTTAGAAGATATGAAAATCTTAGTTATCAAAAGTTTATTTTATCGTTTTGGTAAGAAAATAGAAAACGATCTTTCTTCCCTTAAACATAAAGATTTTCCGAAAGCATTTTATTTGGGAAAGTATTATTCGAATAGATATTACTTACTAAAAAACGAAAAGATACAATCTTTCTTCGTTTCGTTTTAGGTAAGAGAATAAATAAAAATCCTTTAGATCTTCAAAGATAATTTCCAAAAAAGGTATGATTTATTACCAAAATCGCTAGAAACATAATCTCTTTAATTTTAGGTAATTGGATCATTTTGATTTTAAAGAATATTTTCGAAAACACACTTTTGACAAAAGAATTTATTTTTGAAGATTTTAATTTTCCGAAAAATATTTTTGATGAGAGAAAAAATAGTTTATGTGCTTATAGATGAATTTTCTCTCTATCCTACAATTGTAATCCTGTAAAAACCTAAACCCACTAGGGTCTTCGCGAAATCTTTCACACACATGTAGGACTTGCCTTGTTTGTTTTCTTTCCATAAGAATTCTTTGCCTTGTTTGTTTTCTTTCCATAAGAATTCTGCATAAAATAATATTAGCACAAATAATATAATTTAAATTTATTTGTTTTGGTTTAATCATCAAAATTTCGAGATTAGTATTTGACCCTTGAGCCAACACAAGTAAATAGAACTGACGATTTTAATAATACTACTCAGCAAAGAATATCAGAAAAATATTTTTCAGAACGAAAAACACTTCCATCAAAAAAACTCACCAACATTCACAATCAAACAGAAAGTCAAGCCAATGTTGCACAAATCAAGCGTAAATCAAGCGAACGTGATGTTAGAAAAATATATGGTCAAAAGCTAAAATCAAAGATAAGATGATAGTTTTAAAAATATTTGTTAAATATTTTTGAAAATAAAAAGAAATAAAACATAGCTTGAATCGGGCCTCACAAACATATCCACGCACAGGGTGCAAATCCACTGGTTAGCACTAGGATTGGACTTTTTGGCCCAATCCTTGTGCGCGTAATCCAACCCCTCACAGCCCAATATCAAACACCTATTAATAAACTACTTTAAAGACTCCTACATAAGTGATGTGAGATCTTTTGAAATACACTTCACTTTACTTACAACAAACCCCCACATATTTCAATAGATTTTATAGAAAATTTCTTTAGATTTTATAGAAAATTTCTTTTGCTGGGTTTACATGCAAAGGGTACAAATGCTTTCGAATCTGATGTCTTTAGGACTGTGAACCAGATCTAGACTGATATGTCATAACATATAAAGTGTATGTGAAGCAAGCTTTATGAACCAAAACTCTTTGTTGTCTGTTAGAGGCCTTACCAATCTCATTATAACCTTTAAGATTCTCGCTGTTAACGCTGTTTTGCGTTAATAGGTCATGCGCACGACTGGTTATTCATAAGTGCTTTAGAGATTATGCAACAATCTTATAGGAGTGGCCTCTCTCCACACTTACATAGGTGATTCCATCAAGAGTATGTTGCATCTATACACCACATCTATACACCATCCATAAGGAATATGTGAATTCTTAAGAGTTTTTAGCTCAACCTCACATTTAATGCAACCTAGCACAACTCACATCATAGGAATAGACAAAATTAATTAGTGCTAGCAAAATTAATGAGTGCCTTGTTACTACCTATATGAACCTTATTCATGGGATCTCCAATCACAAAGGTTGGGTTACCATCACTATTAATTTCTAAACTGGCTTAAGTCCCATTCCCCTCGATGTTTCGTATATTAGTTTTCTCGCTAATGGTTTAGTTAGAGAATCGACCAAATTCACTTTTGACTTTACGTAATCGATTGATATCACTCTATAGTTTAGCAATTGTTTAACCACATCATGTCTCAATCGGATGTTTCTATTTTTACCATTGAAAGTTTTATTCTTTGCAATGGCTATTGCCGTTTGGCAATCACAATGCATGGACACAGAAGATGTTGGTTTTATTCCTATTGAAATATTGGCTAAGAAATTTCTTAGCCACTCAGCCTCATTGCCAACTAGTTCTAGAGCTATAAACTCTGACACCATAGTTGATTCAGCAAAAATTGTTTGCCTGACTGATATCCAGGTGACAGCACCACCACTGAGGATGAAAATGTAACCACTAGTGGATTTTATCTCATCTGAATCTGAAATCCAGTTAGCATCACTTTATCCTTCTAATATAGCAGGAAATCTATTACACATAATACCATAGTTCATGGTACCTCTCAAATATTTTATTGATTATACTTAATGTAGACTAATGCTCGTGGTTAGGATTATGTGTATACCGAATCAATCTGCACACAACATAAGCAATATCCGGTCTAGAAAAATTCATTAAATGCATCAGACTTCCTATGATTGTGCATATTCAGATTGAGCAATAGGATCACCTCTATTTTTCTTTAATTGAGTATTAGCATCATAAGGAGTACTCACAGGTGTGACATCAAAGTGTCCAAACTTCTTAAGAAGTTTCTCAACATAGTCTTCTTGTGATAGAGTTATACTATCACCTTTCCTTATGATTTTAACACCCAAAATTACATT